GAACTTTTATCTTTTCTAATTTTCTTGCATCTCTTTTCTTCATTTTTGTTTCACATCACCCTCTTCCTTTTAATTCTATAATCGAAAAACATAAACAAATAATCTTTTATTTTTATTTTTATTTTAAAAAAACGAAACAAGTACATACCACAACGGTTATTTAAATTTGAAGGTTAATGCGTATAAGAAATTGCTTTGAATTTTTTCAAGTTCTGGCAAAACCCAATTTTAGCAGAAGATGACGAATGATGATTGGCGGTCATCAATACTGACAGCAGCAGAATGTGTCTGGGTTTGACTTCCCTTCTCTTCTTCTTCTTGTGCTAAAAAACAGACACCTATCTGTTTTGACTCTGGAGGCAAATCAACAAAAAAAAAAAAAAAAAAAAAAAAAAAAAAAAAAAAAAAAAAAAAAAAAAAAAAAAAAAAAAAAAAAAAAAAAAAAAAAAAAAAAAAAAAAAAAAAAAAAAAAAAAAAAAAAAAAAAAAAAAAAAAAAAAAAAAAAAAAAAAAAAAAAAAAAAAAAAAAAAAAAAAAAAAAAAAAAAAAAAAAAAAAAAAAAAAAAAAAAAAAAAAAAAAAAAAAAAAAAAAAAAAAAAAAAAAAAAAAAAAAAAAAAAAAAAAAAAAAAAAAAAAAAAAAAAAAAAAAAAAAAAAAAAAAAAAAAAAAAAAAAAAAAAAAAAAAAAAAAAAAAAAAAAAAAAAAAAAAAAAAAAAAAAAAAAAAAAAAAAAAAAAAAAAAAAAAAAAAAAAAAAAAAAACATACTACAAACACTTATTAGCAGCCAACATGAAGTCCTAAAGTTTCTGAATTGAAAAGGAAAAAAATTATCATCTTGTCTAGATGCTGAGAGTAACATAGTATGAAACATTCTATCACGGGTTTTTTATTTGTGATGAGATTGAGGTCTGAAAACCATTATGAAGCATACCGATACCGGTGCTACAATGCGGTGAAACAGTACCAATATCTAAGGTTCTATCTTAAGTTATATTTTTTGCCCCTTCGTGCGTGCAAAAGTAGAACTTAGTAAGTACCAACAAACATTTTAGGACTGATTTTGCGTAACTAACAGTCGAGATTGGCAATCTGAGAACATAACATGTTAGGATAGTTGAAGGGGCAAGAGAGAGTGATGCATGGAGAGAAAATTACCCATCAAGTGTGACATGTTGTTGGCGAAGAGAATTGGCAAGACCAAGGGCATCTAAGGCCTTCCATGCATTTGTCCATGTTGTCAATGCAAAACCCGTTGTCCTTAAAACTATCAGATTATTCCAACACCAAGCTTCTAATCCCCAGCCTGCACCCAGAAATTTCAATTTTGATTCCGACCATAGTAACAAATATATGAACCATGAACATTAACATGTGTGTATTAGAGAGAGAGAGAGAGAGAGAGAGAGAGAGAGAGAGAGAGAACCTGTGAAGTCCTAAGGATGTTGCAAGGCCAGAAATTCCAGCTCCAACAATCACAACATCTGCTTCTGCTTCCATGTAGTACTTGATTAATTATGCTCTGGAGACTCAGGCTTCTACTTCTTATATTTGTGATGGGGATGTTAAGGACAGGCATAATTGAGCTGAAGATGACGATGATGATGGCGAATGATGATTGGCGGTCAATACTGACAGCAGCAGACAGTGTTTGGGTTTGCCTTCCCTTTTCTTCTTCTTGTGCTCAAAACAGATAAGCCCTCTGTTTTGACTGTGGAGGCAAATCAAAATAAACTGTGGGTTGTTTCAAGTTTAAACCCGCAAGATAATCATGGGGAACTTCTTCTCTAGTTCAATTTTTTCTTATGATTGTATAATGGAGGAGGTGCATGATGACTTTTTTGAATCCAAAACAGTTTGGCAAACTCTCATTATTTTTATTATTTAAAAAAAGGAAAAAAATCGCGTTTTAAGAAACATTAATCAGTACGAGTATAGCCGAGCGGATATACTAATTTTTTATAAAATCAGAAAAAATTTAGTTTTACAATTTTTTTTAAATGCCCGCCATGCGATTAGGCGTACACTTGTCAAAATATGTACAGCCGAACGGCTATACTATTTTAAAAAAAATTAAAACACAGAGTATAGCCGAGCGGCTATACGCTTTAAATACATTATATTCTAACACTATAGCCACATTAGCAAACTAACGAAATTTTTGACAGAACCTAACAATAAGGACCATTTGTGATCGCACAAACTAACCTTGAGGACCACGAATGACGCAGAAAAACATTAAAGATGTAATCTAATAGTTTCGTAAACATTATGGACATTTTGTGATATTAAGCCTAAAAAAATTATGAAAAACCGGAACTTTTATCTTTTCTAATTTTCTTGCATCTCTTTTCTTCATTTTTGTTTCACATCACCCTCTTCCTTTTAATTCTATAATCGAAAAACATAAACAAATAATCTTTTATTTTTATTTTTATTTTAAAAAAACGAAACAAGTACATACCACAACGGTTATTTAAATTTGAAGGTTAATGCGTATAAGAAATTGCTTTGAATTTTTTCAAGTTCTGGCAAAACCCAATTTTAGCTGAAGATGACGAATGATGATTGGCGGTCATCAATACTGACAGCAGCAGAATGTGTCTGGGTTTGACTTCCCTTCTCTTCTTCTTCTTGTGCTAAAAAACAGACACCTGTCTGTTCTCGAATCGTAAGTACACATGACCAGCGGTATTCCTGCTCATTGACATGAATGTAAGTTAGACATGTGCAAGAGACAAAGGACAACATAACTAATGCGAGTGCAGGCTTCGTGTTCGTAAAGAATATATTTAAAGCGTATAGCCGCGCGGCTATACTTTTAAAATATTCGAATGTATTGCGAAAGTATAGCCGAACGGCTATACGTTTAAAATATTCGAACATATTCTAAGAGTATAGCCGATCGGCTATACTCTTTAAATATTCAATTTTGTCATATTATTTTAGGCTTTAGGGCTTAAAATACAAAAAACATGAGAAGAAAGGCTCAACTCACCATTCATACCTCATTGAAAAATCAACAAATTACGTCCAACAACTTAAATTACCGTGACAAGAAGTGAACTAGGCATGCACAATGTTGGAGGTGATAGTCCCTTAGAAGGTATAAGCGTGTTCTTGTGAATAAGTTCTTAAAAACATGGAATGCAAAGTTTTTCACCATATAAAATCATATTCACCTTGATACAATCATATCGATGGAAGGCCAAGTATTACGCAGCTGCCTTTTGTACTTTGTGTATTCGCTTTGTCTTGCACATCAAACATTGCATCTCAACGCCTGCAGTGAAAGGGATAAATTTCAGTGTAATCTATAGACATACCTTCAAGAAAAAGAGAAAAGATGAACAGGATAGAAGTTTCTAAGAACTTGTACCAAACCTTCACACCACTCATGCTTCAATGTACTCAGCGAGCCTCATTTTGTTAACCTTCTTAACCTACAACATGAGCATATATACAACAGATTTAAATACAAAAGAAGCCAAAAGCTTAATATATTTTTGGTTCCTAAGCAGATATCAAACCTAGTGGGTACCATCATCCATTCTTGTTGAAGGTCAGGATCTGCTGCATATGCTTGCAAGCCAGTTGCAAGCAATGTCCCATGCTTTATTCCAACCCAAATGCTCTTCATCAACAAGCACTCTCATGACCTCAGCTGTTTTTTAGAGATGGGTGAGTATCACTGAGCTGCAGAGCACCCTAATTAAGACATGGAAAATTGAGCCGAGGAAAAAAGGAAAAACAGAAAAGCATACCTGAATGACTGTCAGAGGAAAGTAATAAATATAACTTCATTGTAGCTAAACAAGCTGCCAGATTGGGTATTCCCTAGAAATCAACATAGGATAAAACACATACTATTAAGACTTACACCTCATCAAAGTTACCGTGAGCCCCTTCTCTTCTTCTTCTTGTGCTCAAAACAGATAAGCTGTCTGTTTTGACTGTGGTTGTGGAGGCAAATCAAAATAAACTGTGGGTTGTTTCAAGTTTAAACCCACAAGATAATCATCGGGAACTTCTTCTCTAGTTCAATTTTTTTCTTATGATTGTATAATGGAGGAGGTGCGTGATCACTTTTTTGGAGGACGGAAGTATTTACTACTTATACTGAGCTCTTGCAAAATAATGAACAACACAAACTTTTTTATCTTTTCAGAAACAATTTGGCATACTCTCATACAAAATAGTCCCAGCATCCAAAATATTTTTTCTCAAGTTACAGAGTATAGTCGCTCGGCTTTAAAACAAATTAGAAAGGAAAATAGCATAGCCAAAAGAGAATAAAAATATCGAGTCTAGCCAAGCGGCTCTACTATTTTTGACCCATTAACAAATTCCAAATGCTGAACTGAGCATGACATTCTTCCTTCTCACACAAAAAGCCCTGATGATAATTCATTAAATACTCTCTCACATGAAAATTGGACCCAAAAGGCTAACCACCAACAGGCATTACCAGCTACACATTTTCTACATTTCCAACACTGCATATAATAATCCTATCTGCTTTCCATGAATTTAGCCTCATAGTTCTGGGGCAACTGCAAAGATGAAAATATATTTTTTTAAACGAGATGTTCCAAAATGAAAAATATATATAGTCACAATCACAAACATATGTAAGTAACATGAACGTTGCCTCAATCATCTTTCCGGCAAACCGTCTTCCATGGAGAACATGCTGAGCATTTATCGCAGCTTGTGTGTTCTCGAATCGTAAGTACACATGACCAGCGGTATTCCTGCCCATTGACATGAATGTAAGTCAGACATGTGCAAGAGACGAAGGACAACATAACTAATGCGAACAAGCTTACTTGTCTAAAAAGATATGCCTCAAATTCCCGTATTTTGAACACTCCTCCTGAACATCTTCTTTAATGTCCAAGTCAAAGTTTGGTTCCGTCTGCTCAAAAAGGAAGGCAAATTATATAATATAACCACCAAGGGAATGAAGAAAATCTCTCAGTATCAGAAGAATCCACCACCAACCTCAACTGCCGGATCAAACATATTTTTCAACAGTAAACATTCGCTTGGAACACCAATTGTATCTATAGAAGGAAGAGTAGCAGTAGGAATTTGAAGACCAGCAACACCAAGTCCAGAACCCTTAATTTACAAAGTAGCCATTCACAAAATCGGCCTAGGCCGGCGGCTAGGCGGTCGATAGGCGGCTAGGAGGTCGCTAGGCGGGCACGAGGCGGCTAGGCGGTCGCTAGGCGGGCACGAGGCAGCTAGGCGGTCGCTAGGCGGGCACAAGGCGACTAAGCGGTCGCTAGGCGGTCGCTAGGCTGCTAGGCGGTAGCGAAGCTGGCCCTAGGCTGCTAGGAGGTAGCTAGGCGGGCGCTCGGCTATACTGTTAAAATATTCCAATATATTTAGAAGGTATAGCCGTTCGGCTATACGTTTAAAATATTCTAACATATTCGAGAGTATAGCCGATCGGCTGTACTCTTTAAATATACAATTTTGTCATTATTTTAGGGTTTAAGGCTAAAATAGAGAAGAAAGCTCCAACTGCACATCATTTCTCATTGAAAAATCAACAAATTATACTGTCCAACAACTTAAATTACCGTGACAAGAAGATGAACTAGGAATGCACAATGTTGGAGGATGGTGATAGCTCCCTTTAGAAGGTATAAGGTAGTTCTTTGTTAATAAGTTATAAAAATATGGAATGCAAAGTTTTTACCATATAAAATCAGATTCACCTCAATACAGTCATATCGATGGATAATGCCAAGTATATTGCTGCTTAGAGTCATAGTGAACTGCATACTTACAATCATAACTTGTTTTAGCGGTACTAAAACACACACAGACATGCACAGATGAGAGAGAGAGAGAGAGAGAGAGAGAGAGAGAGAGAGAACCTATCAAGTCCTAAGGATGTTGCAAGGCCAGCAATTCCAGCTCCTACACTCACAACTTCTGCTTCTGCTTCTACTCACATTCCATGAATGATATTTGAGGCTTTTACTTTGGTTTTAGTGTAAAGACTCGCAGAACAAAGATATAGACATAGAAGGATGAGATGGGTATTTATATTATATTGTGCAGCGGCAATTGGATAGTGCTATAGTGGGAGTACAATTTAGATGACGATGGGGATGATGATCACACTAAAGACAAGTGACAACAGCCAATGTTCAATCTGATCTACCTTTTCTTATCTGTTATTGAAGCACTAAACCCCAATAATGCCACCAAATGCTTTGTATTGTTTATTTAGCAGCCATGATTCCTTTTTAGCGGCTATCTTTGAGCACTAGGAAAGTGTAATATTGTTTGTTGGATTCATCGATATAAGCCGTCTTACACCAACTCACTCTTAATCTAATGGTGTTTCTCTTTTCAACGTCATTAAAAGATATTTCAAGTTCGATTCTTATTTCCCCTGTTGTTAATAAAGATTAAAAAGAAATTTCCCCTTACAGAAACTCCATGCAAATTACAAAATGACAAAAGAAAAGTTCTTGCACTAATATGATTGACATGTAAGGTTACATGCAAATCACAATTATATATGCAGAGGACGTATCATTGCATTTAAGAGATGCTGAGCTTTCCACAATCAAAATCTGCCTTCTTCAACCGCAAACCAGCCAGGATTGAAGATAAAAATTTGTCCCTGAAGAAGTTCATAAATTTTCCATTACTCTCTTGTAAGAAACCAACCACATAAGATGTACTAATCAGATCAAAGCTTCTCCATCTCCTCTCGTTGGCATACTTGTTCAACCCCATCTCAATCCTCTCATACTCTTCCTTTCCTTCTTCATCCTCCTTATCTTTTGTTTCTCCCCCTGAGTTCTTCAATAAGGCCTCACCAAGACACCTTGCCAATACAACGCTGTCTTCTAATGCACAGCAGGCCCCTTGGCCAATGTCTGGGGTCATGGGGTGGAGCGCGTCCCCTGCGACACAAGCATTTCCTTTGCTGATGTTTCCCCAAAGAAGCTCCCAAGGATGCCTATATCTCAATGGAGAGGATATAAAAGCATCCAATTCGGTGTTTTCTACCACAGCTTTTACTTTATCAGGTATCTTTCCGAGCTTGCTTGACATATATTGCTTCAGTTGAGCTGGGTTCTCTTCTAGTTCTTTCTCTACAAGACAGGAAGAATAAACAAAAAAATGTAACATACAGAGATTTTAAAAAAAAAAAAAAAAAAAAAAAAAAAAAAAAAAAAAAAAAAAAAAAAAAAAAAAAAAAAAAAAAAAAAAAAAAAAAAAAAAAAAAAAAAAAAAAAAAAAAAAAAAAAAAAAAAAAAAAAAAAAAAAAAAAAAAAAAAAAAAAAAAAAAAAAAAAAAAAAAAAAAAAAAAAAAAAAAAAAAAAAAAAAAAAAAAAAAAAAAAAAAAAAAAAAAAAAAAAAAAAAAAAAAAAAAAAAAAAAAAAAAAAAAAAAAAAAAAAAAAAAAAAAAAAAAAAAAAAAAAAAAAAAAAAAAAAAAAAAAAAAAAAAAAAAAAAAAAAAAAAAAAAAAAAAAAAAAAAAAAAAAAAAAAAAAAAAAAAAAAAAAAAAAAAAAAAAAAAAAAAAAAAATACTTCAGGCGTGGACCGAAACAGAGGCAGTGGCATTGACATTAAAGCAACTGCCTTGAAACTCAATTGCAAAGAGAAACAGTTCAGTTACATCCTCACATACAAACGTAAAGATACAACAATTACGTGGAGGTGGAGAACAGAGGATAAAGAATACAAAATTATGTGAGATTGATTTCAGAAGAAATGAATACTAAATTTAGGTGACAACAATCTAATCATAAATTAAAGCTTTCAACCAATAGAAAAATATTTAAAAAACTACTCTCATTTTTTTTCTTCTTTTAGTATTCTTGGAAAATGAAATTCATATGACAATATAAGTTCAGATAAAAGTCTACCTCACTGCATCCAATTCCCAACTTCTTCCTGTCATTTAGGCAACGCTTATGATACTTTAGGTACCTAAAAGGAAAGGCAGCCATGTTAGATAACAAATTTATGCTCTCGCTCTCTCTCTCTCTCTTCCCCAACCCACCTTGGCCCCCGTCCTTTCTCTATCTGTCTCCTCTATTTCAGTATCTAACGCACATACAAGCATGTACACAGATCAAAATTACAAAATTACATCCCTTACTTCTGTTGTTTAAAACCATTTTTCTTCTAGAAGCTGATGACTTGGATGCTGAAATGGTGGAAATGATTTTGGCACAGAACCCATCGGTGGACTACTGCTCGAGAGAAACCCATGGGGAGAAACACTCAATTTTGAAGACCTTGGTCTGTAAAATTAAAATCATATTTGGATTAGCTTTGCGGAATCACAAGACCTAATATGCTTAGACACTAAAACATTAGCTTGGTGTTGCAACTATTGTCCCTTGATTTCGAGTTTTGTTAACTACAATTTCTCATCTCACAAGTAAGAAAAAACTACTTCTGAATCACTAGGTAGAATTACTCTACTGAAGAAACAAATCCAAAATGTCATAAACAAAAATAACATTCATTTCTAACTAACCCTGACTTTCAGGAGGCGTGGAACTAAAGAAAAAGCCAACAGAGTTACTTGGTGGACTTTCTGATATGATTCCTAGAGAGTTCCGAGCAGTTCCATAATTTCTAAAGTTGCTTGAGAAGAATCTCTGTCTATGGGACGACTGCTGATTTTGGAAGTTTTTACTTTGCTTCTTCCGGGAATTAGCACTTCCTGACTCTTCAATGCCAACACTACAGTTAGATATTTCTCCAGGCTTTAATTTTGAAAAGCCTTTGCCAACGTTTGATAATCTTGAGTTTGCATCTCTATTTCATAGCCGGAGCTGTTCTTTTTACGATTTGATCTCTTGGTTTTCAGTTCCTGCTAATTGATCATATGTTAGGACAGTGAAAGTACAGTAATTAACAAACTCCATTGGGGTTTTCTCAACCTGCTCATAGAAGTAAAGTCCATCGTTTATAGCAGATGCGAGCTCATTGGAAATGGTTTTTGATTCTTTATCTCCAGTTTTAGATCCTTCACCGACTCTACTATTCTGCACAGCAAACAATGAAATGTCAAATAATCAAAATGCTAAAGACATTAAATTAAAATCCCTTGCATGAAACAAAAGTAAAAGGACCTCGTATTCAAAAGACATAAGTTCAAGAAACATCTCTTTTTTATGAGATAGGCAGTTGTTGCATGATTCATTGGTAGACTAGCAGATTAACACTTTTGATACGACAAAGATGCCTTCACAGCATATACATGCTCTAAAACGCTATTTAGGCATTAAGGGAGTTGCGAAACTAGACAAGCTAGTTGCAATAAATGTAAGTGAAACTGACTGGGATAAGTTTGTTTATTTTTTGGGAAGAATATCCTGATGGTACCCCTGACACATCACCCTTTTCGTCTTACCATACTACAATCTTAAGCACTGGATATACGTCTGATGAGGTTGCACCAACAGAAAACAGATATCAAATAATACATCCAATAATTCAGGGGGGTCGCATTCCTATGTGCAATACTAATATTACTCGTTATGCTTCTTGAGAACATTATACGGTGTTTATGTCTGTTAGATAGAGCATCCAACAAACGTATTGGCTAAGTGGAGAGGCCCAAGACTTTTTATTTATCTATTCGATAAAAAACATAATTTCATTGGCAAGGAACAGAGCAACACAGAGGACAAGTTATCCACTAGACTAGCTAGAAAACGCTAGCTAAATACAACTAAGACTGCAAAACATAGCTAAGCAACAGGACATTATACATTGTAATACAAGGCTTAACTTTATTAATGCCACATACTCTCAACACACCCTCATGTGTGGTGTAACTTGAGCCAAACACATGGACTGGACAACTCATGTTGTGTCACATGGAGTGCGTGTGGCCATTGGGCTTGACACGTGAGAATACCATGTTAGACTTTGTTGGTTTACCACTATTTGCAAGAGCTTAAGCATGAAATATTTAGATTTACTTGCAATATGAAAAGAGTAATCAGCTCTTTCAAATATACATTTTGTTACTTAATGGCATACCTGAGTGACAATTACAAGTCTCTGGACATCCTGATCATTGACTACAATCTCATCATCTTCATCATCAATCCTTTGGACACCACTGTCATATGAAGAACACATACAATTAGAGGCCGAGCAAGCAGACACTACAACAATGAAGCAGATAGTAAGCTTGCATACCAAATTGCTTGGCCAAGATAAGCCACAAATTTTAGGCTCCAAGTTCCAATTACATTAAATTGAATGGCACCAGTAGAGTTCAATCACCAGTTTTTAGTGCACAAACAAACAAAATGTATCTTGGAAGCATACTTTCATCAATAAAGAAATACGAAAAAAAAATGAATAAAAGACTGCAGAAAAGAAGAAATAAACGAGAGCAATAAATGTCCACATGCACAGAGTCACATAATTACAGGTCACAAGGTTTCCAACACAAAAGTCTTCAGATGATAAACAAGAAATTTAAAATAAAAAAATTCTCCAGGACATGGTGATTGCTGAGAAACAACATTAAAAGAACATCACTACAAGCACACCCCACTCCCCAAAAAACTGATGAAAAAAAATATAGTAATTGGTTTCTTTTTCTCAATATGGCTTTACAATATGAAATAATATTACATTCAGGCACGTAAAAACCAGCAGTTGGAAATTTTAGCTTCTAAGTAAATCCTAATTGCATATTAAAATATAATATACAAAGAGGGATTAAAAGATTGTCCTCTAGACAAAGATATCTCTTCTGGAAAAAGGTAAGTTACAATTACTAGATACAGATACAGAACCGAGTCTTAGCACACATTAGCACACTTGCGGAGGCACTTTATCTATCTTTCCCAGAACTAACCAACAAATTTCAAATAATTCGTAGTAAGCCCAAGTCTATTCATTGTCACACCAACCACTTAGGAATGTGAGATTCGTATCTAAGTAATTTGAGTAGGTCAGATTACAAAAATGTTGTTGGTGCCTTCGTTATTTTCTTCAAAACCAAGTACACCTCACAATCCATTGGGGGCTAGCCCTACAGTACTTATGGTTCTCACATTTAACTAAACTCACCTGTTGCACCCTGGGGTCCCCACCTGTGGCCCCGTAGAACGACATTGTACATAAGCACATCAATCAAATACAAAAAACAAAAAACAAAAAACATTGAATACCTTCTTCTAACAGGAAAAAGATCATCCTTCTTTATTATTTTCTGCTCAAGCTCTAGCTCTTCATCCAGCATAAATGTGTTTGCAAAATCATTAGACAGGTCACCAACATTCTTCATATCCATATCTGACGGCATGCCTTCCACCCCATCATCATCAAGTCTTACACTTTCAATTCCCTCTGAGTGGTCTAGGCAGTCTGAGTCATGATTCATTTTGACAATTGAGGAATCGCAATTTGATTTAGAAGTCAACTTTCCACTTAAACCAGCATTATAATCTTGTGATCCTCCATCAACCTGAACACCATCAGTGCCATGTTTGGTGTTTGATGGCATGCACAACATCAAAGTTTTTTCATCTGATGAAAGTTCAGCTTTTTCTTCGGAAGTGTTCCTTCTATCATCGATGGAATCACTATTCTCAGGAGCATTGATAGACCTTTCTTGATGTTGAACCAGGGAAGTTTGCGGTTTGGATGTTAACATAGAGTCTGCAGAGGCTGCGGTCCACTTGACCATTCATCACGTCTCCGTATCTTGTTAGCCTAATCACAGAAAAGAAGCAAAGCATTTTAAAAACATCCATAACTTGTCAGCATATCTCTCAACTTCTCTGAATCCAACATCTTTCGTAATTTGAGTAGGCCACCAAAAGTACAAAGGCACCTCAACACAAGTAATACATAAATGTTCCATTAACCTCAGATTATGAACATTAGGAAGGAAAATTTTCCATTACAGTGGCCTTCACTTCCAAAATGACATGAACCCCCAAACGTAGAAAGGAAAGATCTTCTTAAAAAAATGAAGAAAAAATAAAAAAATAAGGTTAAATAAAACAAATGAGAGAGACAGGAAAAATCCATTGTCAGCAAACAATAGACCACAACAATAGATTGTCATTCCATATTCACCATAAAAAATATTGTCTGGCTTTGCCGTACCATTGAGCATACAGTACAAGACAAGAAGACATAAACATCAGGATAAGTGCTAGAAAGAAGATTAACCTGCACTTCTACAGTAGCTGAACCCAGCAGTGAATCAATGATAAACGTTATGTCGGTACACATTTTTTTAACCTGTAACACAAAATATAAAAAAATTAGCTTATTTACATTATTGCAAGCCACAAAACAGGAGGGCATATATTATCTAATCTAATATATCACACAGCAAAACATCGGTAAAATTGATCAGCATGTATTACTTAGCTTCTACATATGCACTATGGTACCGAAACATACCCTTTTAAAGTCCGCAATCGTGGTTATTGGAACCCATCCTTCGTCATCCATCAATGAAATTAGGTAATGGTCATTCTTTAGATTTCATCACTGCCAAAAGGAGATTAATAGAGTCAATTAATAATAAAAGCAACATCTGTAACATCTATCTATACTATAAGAGAACACTCCTTGTCTTCTATGGTGTGCAGAAAGGCTGCAGATAACAGATAATTGCAATAAGTCAGTTAAAATCTGGGATACTTTTGTCTTTACATACAACCCCACTGTTTCTCTCACATCCTTATATTTCTCTTCCTCCAATAACTTCAACAAGCGCATGTGCCTACTTTTCTAGTATATACAAATTCACTGCTTTTCATTGTAATAATGTATATTTTAAGAACTTCTCCAGGTCTAGGTCCGTTGAAGAGTCCCAACTTTTCAGAGAAGTTTCTGATTAGATCAAACTTTTTAGAGGGTCGAGAATGTGTTTATACTACTCGTTGAAATCCAGATCTATTCACTTCTTGCTTTTGGAATTTATACTGCCCATTATAGAGAGTTGAAAATGTGCTTCACTATGGAAAAGCTTGACTTTCATAAGCAACTTACCTGAAATAATACTCTATTTGTTTAATAATATTGTCCCTCAAAGAGAATGTATGTGTTTCTGAGGGTAGTAATGGAGCCCCTGGATTTAAAGGATGTGGCATAAAGCGAGGAGGATGAGGTCCTCTAATTGCGCCAGGTGGTGGAACTGGAAGATAGCATATGGGTGCAGGACCTGTGTAATTGATATAAACACGAATAAAACATAAGGTAATAAACACAAAGTAAAGATCAGCAGCAGCTAAGTGTTAGGAGATTCATTGAGCACATTGATTTCTCCATTTTTTCAATTAAGTGAATTCAAGTATACTGGTGACACTGGAAATAGTCAGATACCAAGGGGAAAATGGAAAATTTGTTAAAAATAATACACATAATTGACAACAAAATAAGACAGCTCAGCACTGGCATGCTATAATTACCAGGAATGCTTGGGCCGACCATGAATCCTGGAGCTGGACCAAAAAAATGAGGTCTTAAGAAAGGCCTAGGTCCAACACCCTGTTGTACAGGAATGTTCTCTCTGGGGTTAAATGGTCGTTGATGATTCCAAGTATGATTCCAATGGCCACCAGGTTCTGGCAAATTGGGTCTTCTAGTAGAAAAATTGGCACTATAAGCATTTGGATTCCCTCGTGGTTGAGGCTGAACCGGTTGCACAAAAGCTTGCACTGGGGTCTCACATCCAGATTTTGCAATATGATTTTCAACACTTGGAATGGGTCCAGGGTATGGCTGGTAAGCATACCCAGAAGCAGCAATGTGTGGATGCTGTACCATAGTATGAAAAACAGGAGGAAGCGGTGGTTGATGGTAAGGTAAGGGTACTGGAAAAGGAGGTGCAGCATTTGGGTTGCGCCTAGGGCCTTTTTGGTGATGTTGTGATGATGAATGCTTGTGTGAAGCATTAGAATTTCCAGACCCATTTGACTTCTGCTGCATGACAAATCCCTGGATGACCAATCAAAACATTTAAAAGCAATACAGTTAATGACCAGATGAACTAAAGTACCATGTATTCTTTTGTTTTTGAACTATTGCTCATTTTAATAGGAATGAAATAAATTAATAAAATAACAATGTTCATGAACAGGTGGCAGGCCCAAACACTTGAAATTCTAAATAACCAATCCAATGTTAAGCGTATCTCTCAAAGCACTAGTGCCAGACACATCAAGTAACCAGGTATGGCAGGAAGGGGGAGAACAAGAAATCGAAGACCAGCGAGCCACTTTGGTAATGAATGTCTAAAAAATTTATGTTCTAGTCCTTCAAGACAATGCAAAATCTGTATTTTAGCAGGCCATTTAGAAGAACTTTTTTAAAGTAAATTCCAGTAAGTGCCCAAATATTCAGATACATGGACTGAGTATGTAACAGTTAAATTCTGGGTTATCCTAGTACAATATTAACTTTTGAAGGGTTGCCAAATATTTTTTTGAAAAAAAGTGAAAAACATTTGCTTTGATTGTAATTTTGGTTTCGATTTTATTAAGCTCTCTAGTTATTAATCTTTTATTTGAAGTTATATTATACTCTGAGGTGTTTTCTTCAAAAAATACAATATTTAGGACATCTATAAAGACATGAATATGCGAATTTAATTTTCTTTAAATAATTTTTGCCAAACAAAAATGATAATTTAATTAATTACACAAAACTATTCTCCTAAGAAAACATAAATAAATTATGCAAATAAAAATGACCATTTTCTAAGGTTTCAATGCAGAGATAAACATTACTAAATTAGCCGTGCATGTTCCATAGTTTTAAACTTTTCCAACATGTAGCAAACAGGTTTGGGTTATTTTGTAGTTCTGCAGCCAAACAATAGCTTTCTCTTATCTTCATGGAAGCTGTCCCATGGAAAACCACTTATCGAAACAAACGGACCCTAAAAAAGATTCCAAGAAATCAGATATTCAGCAATTGACAATTTACCTGAGAAGGCAAAGGAGACGGCTCTGCGGCTGGCGGCTTCGCCGGCGCATCTGAATTTTTGGGCCTGTGGGCGTCGGCCAGAGCAGGCCAGGACTCAGCCCCCATGACGGGAGCATCCTCGGCCGCCTTGGCGTCGACCGTGACCGGAGTCTTCCATGGGGACTTGGGCCCACCTCCATTGACATTGAGGTCCCTCTGGTCATCCCCAGCCTCATTCTCAGCCATCACCATCACTCCTCCGATCTCACCAAAACCAAAATTCCTTTCCTCTCCTTTCCTTTGCTCAATGAAGAGAACAGAGGCAGTGGCAGTGGCAGTGGCAGTGACACTGTTAAAGTGGTAAAATTGGGGGGGAAGAGCGTGGAACGGAGTATCAAGATCTTCGTGGGCTGGTGGAGCAAGCTGCGATCAGAGCAAAACGCGCGCTTTGTAGTGTTTCATCTTGTCATGGGTTTGGTGGGCGCTAGGGTTTTAAGGAGAGTGACAAAGAGAGAGCGAGAGAGAGAGAGAGAGAGTTTGTGTAAGAGAGGAGAGAGAGATTGACAGTTGCGGTTGCGGACGCCAACAAAGTGCGCGAGCTGTTGAAAAGCGTGTGTAGGTTTTTTTGGGTCCTTTTTATTTGAGGATCTACTGACGCTGAGTCAATAGGGTGTTGTCTATTGATAGACTACTGTTTGGCTACTTCCACACTATTACAGTTCTTCTCAACCTCTTATTTGGAAATTTATGCGGGTGTGGAAGCAGTCCAAAATGTGTCTGCAAAAGTAGAGAGAGAGGGTAAGCTGCCTTCCACTTCCTACATTTTCTACATTACAAATAGGGGTGAGCATCAATCTGGCCGATCTGACCAAATCGACCGAACCAATCCGTATTTTTCGATTTGGTTTGGTTTTGACTTTAAAAAGTCCACAGTTTTAAATCCGAAGTGGTTTGGTTCAACTGCAATTTTAAGCTTAAAAAACTATGTTAATCTGAACCGAATCGTTTAAATATTAATTACATGTGTCAATGATTGAGTGGCTAATTAGAGATGTTAGTGTACACCCAGCCGCACTAAATTGGACTCGAAACCACTTATTTTCGGACTCCAACCTCACTCACATATGATCTCATCTCATCTCAAAGGCTCATTTTCCTTGAACATCCAGCCTCACTCAACCCACTAGAACCCTAGAGAAGCCACCATTGATTTGAACCACTATAACCTTCGCTGCTTCAATCAAACCCATTCTCACATCGCAGAAACCTCATCGGTGTCGCACCTCCATCATCGCACAGCCATCGTCATCATTGCACAACCATTGTCATCGTTGCACACTGTGCGACCCACAACCAGCATCATCATCGCACAACCATCGTCATCGTCGCACAACTAGTGTCGTCGTCGCACAACCATCGTCATCGTCACATAGCCATCGTTGCACAACCATCATCATCGTCGCACAACCATCGTCAAAAGCTATTTCATGAAATGGGTTGTCTTGTGTAGATCTCTCCAACTTTGTTTTTGGGAAATTTAAGAGGAGATGTTGAAAGCTGGAGCATGGATCTCACATCGAGTCTTGGTGAAAAGCTTGCCAAATATCAGATTTCTCTCTACTATTGAAAAGTACTTCCACTCTCTCTCTAGACAATGATCCATTGGGCCTATAACATGTCTCCCTATACAAACTTTGATTCCATATCTCTCCTTTTATTCGAACCCACTTCAACCTCCACCCACCGTCGGGCGTCACAGATTAGATTCTCTAGCTTCAACCTTCATTGATTCAAACGTGCTCCTCTCAGTGCCAACAATGGATGAAGCTAACTCAGTACCAACGATGGATGAAGCTAACTCAGTGCCAACGATGGGGAGTTCTTCTAATTTATTTAATGTTCATGATAATGTGCAATTTGTTTGATTAAGATGCAATTTATTTAATGTACAATTTGTCTGATTATATAGATGGAGGTAAACCAGGGGGTGGAAGATTGTTTTGCTTCTAATCAGCCACCACCTATAACTGAATCTGCACCAACGATTGTGACCTCTCAAGCTCAGATTGGTGCATCTGATCAACTTCCATCGTTTCCTTCCCAAAAAAAGAGAAAACCGACTAGGAAACCAAGTGAGGTGTGGAATCACTTTGAACAATATCAAATTGGTAATCCTTCTGAACCTATTAGGGTTTAGATGCAAGTATTGCAAAACTGCTGACCATAAATATGATCCAGCAACTTGTGGGACATCAAGTTTGAGAACTCATATTACTAATTTATGCACACACAAAAATACCCATATAGGGTGCCTGGTTCAAATCAAAAGGTCCTAACTTTTGCCAAGGACCAATCTAGAAGTATTATCGCTCTTGGGGCAACGGGATTTAATAAGGAAGAATCTAGGGAAGCATGTCTTAGGATGGTTATTATTGATGAGTTGCCATTTAGTTTCGTAGATGGAGAAGGGTTTCGTCACTTTTGTAGTGTTGCATGCCCTAGGTTTATACCACTATCTTGTAGAACACTTGCTAGAGATT